GGGGGGGGGGAAGGATGACAAGCTATTTAAGTATTTATGCCGTTCATGTATCTGGCAGTGGTCACGTGATGCGCGACGGGCGTCTGAAATTCTATCCACATCACTGAGACATCACACATTTACACTCTTCAATGTTTAAAATATCCTCTTCCCCCCGCCCCCCCCCCCCTTCTTTTCCCCCCAAACGGTCAAAAGCTGAAACTTTCCACGAAGGTTCATTTCCGTTGTTCAAAGGGAGTTAATTTCCCGAGAAGAAATCGAGAGATTTGAAAAGAGTTGTGCGCCCGGCATCGGAGTAATCTTCGTACTGTATCGGGATGTGATCGGAATTCTCGTCATGTGGTGGCATTGATTAACCCTGATGGGGAGTCAGGGCGCCGATGGATATTTTCCACCCCTTCGGGCAGGGAGCGGTGGGATGGGAGGTGGTATTGGTGTCACCATGTAAGCTGTGGCCTGGGGGACACGTGACCCAGAGACTTTGTCACTTTGGTGTCACTAATTTGGTGATGGTATTATGTTGTCACGTCTCAGACGGAAGCTGGGAAAACAGTCGCCAGGGCTATTTCATACCAGACATTGGAGGAGTACTTCCTGGGGGTGGGGCAGAAAGAGATGGAATTAATTGGAGAAATGGACGAGGTGAGTGATAAATATAGTGACTAATATGGAGAAATGGACCAGGTGAGTGAGAAGTATAGTGAATTAAATGTAGAAATGGACTAGGTGAGTAAGCGATAAAGTGAATTAGATGTAGAAATGGACTAGATGAGTAAGAAACAGAGTGAATTAAATATAGAAATGGACTAGGTGAGGGACTGCGTGAGAGAAAGAGAGAGAGATTGAATGAGAGAAAGATGGAGACGCATGATTTTGTTTGTCAAAATGAATGTAAAAGAAAAAAGACCACCAGCTCATCAATCTTCCTCGGGGTCTACAAACAGTGTACAACGCTTAAACGGCACCCATAAAACATTCCTTGTCAAATCAATCTCAAATAATTGTCTTAATAAGATTTTTAAAAAAAAACTCATTCATCGAGGCCGTATAAACTGTATGACGTCATTCGTTAGCGCGTGCTCGCTAGGATTAAATAAAAACATAAACACTGTAAAAGTAAATGGAACAACTCAATTTTGACGCACCCGGTTGTGCATGTGACTTGCGCAAATGTGTGATTTTTGTTTTTTTGTTTTTTTCATTCATTGGAAGAGTTGTCAATGTTGCAAATAATTATTATTTGTTGACCGAGGCCTATAAGAAATTAACGGAAGGCCACTTGATTATTTTTTAACGTCCACGCATATTGTTTCTCTCATGAGGCCAAACTTTAAAAAAAGGAGAATGTGAAAAGAAACAAAAAGCCTATTAACCTTTTAAATAATATTAAAGTGAATGTTAACACACTGTTATTAAATTATATTAAAGTGAATTTTAACACACTGTTATTAAATTATATTAAAGTGAATGTTAACACACTGTTATTACATTATATTAAAGTGAATGTTAACACACTGTTATTAAATTATATTAAAGTGAATGTTAACACACTGTTATTAAATTATATTAAAGCGAATGTTACCACACTGTTATTAAATTATATTAAAGTGAATGTTAACACACTGTTATTAAATTATATTAAAGGGAATGTTAACACGCTGTTATTAAATAATGTTAATATCAGACAATAACGTCACACATTC